ACGATTTTTATATAATTAATGGTGCTTCTTTTTTAGAGAAAGGATGCGATTTTTTAAACATTTGGGACAGTGCTGCCTTCACAAGTCTTCATATTATTGCATTACTGTTTTTGGCAAGTTGACAGCTGTTTCAAGCATGATACAAATGTTGCAGTGTGTTTTCTTTTCTGTATTTAATATTTGAGGATGAAAGGCAGATTTCTCACACTGCTTGATGGAATTGTTAAGTGGAAATTGCCAAATATTTGATTTTTGGATTAAATTTTGCATGGTTATGGACAAATGCAATAAATAAAGAATTACAATGAGAAGGATAAAACATTCTGAAGCAGTGAAGACAGATGAAACACTATTCGAAAGTGTTCGAATCTCTTCCTAGATGCAAAGCTACCTTCTTGATTTTTATCATTTCCAAATGTTGCATTCAATCACGATAGCAAACATTGCTTTCGAATAATTCGATACAGTAACCAGCTAGGCAGTGATACATTCACTACCAATCAATTTCGAATAAAGGCACCAATGAATGTTACTTCTACTATTAAACAAAGTAACATTAATTCGCTAAGGCACTGCCTAGAAACCTAACCTTTTCGTCCTATTAGGAGTTGCAACGTTAAACGTTCGTGTGTGTAATAGTACTTTCGGATTAGTCGGTAGAATTAGTCGTATGCGATCCATTCATCACTTCTTTTTCTTTATTACAAATTTTTATTATTCAAATTAACATTTTGAATACGAGTACTCTAACGATAAGAGAGAAAAAGAGAGAGGATTGATTTCGAGACAGTTTTTTCGTTTTTGTGAAGTAAGCAGATTTCCAGAATTGCTTTTCGGAATTGATGCCAATTAGAAATGTGTTCCTTCTACGATTCTAATAGGAACATGAAGCTTTAATGCCTGAAAAAAAATATTACATCAAGCAACATGTGAAAGAAACTTTGTGGTATGAATAGTGGAGTTGGATGAGGTGGATGATGGCTTTTTGGATTTAATTTCTTGGATTGATTTTTTAATTTGTAATGTGTGGAGTTTGATACTAATAACAAATGTTCCGAATATTTAAATTAAAGCAGAGTTGTGCCGTTTGATATTTCACATTTTAATTGAATGGCTATATCACGATGAATGCACCTCATCCCGACGATTTGTGGTGCTGTAGGTTTTGTCTTTTTGTTTGGTCCTTCAGCTGAATTAAAAACTAAAGTTTGATAATTTGGGTTTTTAATTTCGTGATTCCAACTCCGATTTATTGGTCCGTAAAATTGCCCAAAAAATTGCCCTTAAAATAGTGCAAATATTTCATTCAATTCAGCTGCAATATTGTCGTTTTAGTAATAGTGTGCACTCTATTGATGAAATAAATTTCCGCAGCTTCTTTTATACCTTACTCAACAAATAAAGACATTTAACTTGATTACAGCGATTACTGGGTTTTTTTTCAATCACCCCTTAAAAATCGTAGTTGTTAAAAGTGAATGCCCTTCAAAAACAAGTTTTTCTTCTCTTTACTGTGTTTTTAGTGCCCCTATTTTATAATTTTTTAATTCTGATTTTTGAAAAAACGTAAAAATTGAAGAAACAGTTTTAGCTGACACTCTCTTGGGAATCAGTTAAGAGTATACATCAATGAAATACATCCACAATAAGTTTAGAAACATTTCAAACTACATTCTAAAATTAATCATAATGTTCAATGTCAACACTATGTATTTCCTAGTGAACACTCCATCTCATTGAAAGTACATCCAATCATCCTGTAACTTTACCAGATACATTTAATCACACTACTATACATCTTGTATCAATTTCACATTGTTAGAATAGAATTCAATATGATAATAATAACAATCTGTCAAATTGTCACATTTCAATAAAAAGATTTCGCTCCCTCTCAGTCAATTTATAAAATATCATACAAGTATCAAATATGAATACACTCCCCTTGATGAGGAGAACAATCTGAGAAAGTTTCATATTGATGGCTCAGTATCTTCAAGTCAATTAAGCACAAAAAAGTCAACAATTTAAAATTAAATATAGTATAGTCATTCTACAGACATGTGATGGTGACACCATTAATTCAAAATATTGGTGAATGAGAGTAACTATATCTTAAAATCTATGTGTTGGTTTCAATATTAATTGTTCACTATCACTATCACTGGAACTCTATAATAATTCAAAAATATTCTCATTTTCTTTGAATTATTAAGGGCGATAAAAATATTTTTGAAGTGCTTGCAAAAGGTTGTTGAAAAATTTAAAATTTTTTTTCAAAGGGCATCTACGAAACGTAAATAATATCGCTGTAAACTCACTGTACTCGATTTCTTTATTATTTCATTATTTTCTTATTTGGCCCTGAATATTCATGGATTTATGAATTTATTTGTGCACACTATTACTAAAACGACAATATGTTCACAGCAAAACAGAAAAAAAATAGAATCATATATGAGAGGTTATATTTTCTTATTGATATTAGTAGTTCTATTGCTTGCCCTTGTTGGTTGTGGAAACACACAGGAACCTATTAGAGAATTTCATCATTTTGGTCTCGATTATGCAGTGGACACATCTAAAATAGTCATGTATCAACTTGCTGTTCCAAATCTACATGGAACCATGACGTTGGATTTCGATAGGAATGGTAAATGGAGTGGAAACTATTCCCTCACACATAGTAAGATTAATGCTAGATTCTTTTTTGATACATTCGAATCAGAAATGTTTTCATTTGACTTTACAAATCTGTCATGTGAAAATGTGAACTCATGTAAAATCACTGTGAATACGCAAAGATCAATTTTGAAGAATGTAGATCCTTATGGAATGCAAATAGTTGGCGTTAGGAAGGATCCAGTCAGAAATCAACTCTTAAAGTTCGATATTCAATATGAGAATTTTGGAGAATTTGAACTGACTAGTAATTTTACAATAACTTTTTCTCAAATTAGAGAAACATCATTTTCCTTCCAATACTACATGCAAGGTGTTATTCATCCGGTTAGCAATATGAGAGCTTCAATTCCAATAAGCTTTCCTAGAGATGTCAGTTATCATGTGGATGAATATAAAACCTCCATGTCAATTCTCCTATCCTTTGACAATGCCCCAATTATTGACAAGTCTCAACTCTCATTATCCCCAAAAATCTTGCTTCAAACCTTCTTTACTGGACTCATCCCAAATTACTACACTTCAATCTATTCCTTCCAATTATGGAAGACAGATCTTAATGGTAGGTTTGGAAATACATACTCTTTGATTAT